AAGCGAGGAATCCCAGAGCACAGGGGAATCCGAGTCGACAGTTAGTAGCAGTAGCGACTTCCGAAGACAGCCTAGCCGAAAAGCTAAGGATAAGACAAGAGGGGAGGAGGAGGTTTTACAAGCTCCCCGTATTATGATAGGAGATGTTCCTATACTAAAACCCTGGACTCCAGCAGAAGCCCGAGCCATGGTGTCTGAAGCCCCAGATTGCTTAAAGAGACCCAATGCTTTTCATAACTGGCTGGTACAAATATGTACGATCTACTCCCCTCTCCCCAGGGATGTGCAGATGCTACTGAAATGTGCATATGGAAATTAGTGGTCATCTCTAAAAGAGGGATTCACTATTCCCCTCCCCCGGTGAAAACGGAGATTGGAGACCAAACGATGACCAACTCGCAATCGGGAATGAGTCTCTGTCTCACTGGCTCGAGAATAGAGGGAAGGAAGCTATAATGAGAGGAGCACGAAAACATAGCGATATAGGGGAAGTAACCCGCTGCCTGCAGCAAAAAGGGGAGCCTATCCCAGATTTTATGGCCAGGTATAGAAGTAAATGGGAAGAACATGCAGGTATTCCCCTGGAAACTGGACCACTGGCAGTTCAAACCTTACTAAACTGTGTGCTACCCCTACAGGCACAGGCTTACAAATTGGCAAACCTAAATTGGCGAATCAACAATGGGGAGAAGTGGTCACTTCATTAATGAATATGGACAGACAGGGCCTTTTCATTTCCCAGGAGGAGAGCAAGCCCGAAACGATGGGACAATTTTATCAAAATGGAGCATAGCCCCAGGCCAATAGGTGAGGAGGGGGCGGAAGGAGACAAAAGTGGTCTCGAGATAAATCCCAAGACCAGCGTAACAATTGTGGAAGGAAGGGTCACTGGGCCGGGGAATGTAGATCAGGACGAGGCCAGGACCTGAGGGGAGGGGAGATGCCCCCCTTCTCTTTTAGTCACCCAAATCCATCAGCATAGAAGTGCCGCGAGGAGAGGGTGGTACAGGCGGCCATCATCAGACTGTCCAAAACTATGAGGGAGGAAACCATGACTACTATTAAATTGGGAAATAAATATTTGGACTGTCTGATCGATACCGGTGCCACCATGTCCTCTGTACCCTGCTCTGCGGACGTCCTGGAAAGTGGCTGCCTAATTGAAACCGTGGGGATAGCTGGCGTCCCGCGAGTGGAACCTCTTTCCCTGCCAGCTCAATTGAAAATAAAGGAAAGAGATGTCACGGATACTCTTAATATTTCTAAGACAGCCCCACTCCCCTTACTGGGCCGACAAACTCTTTGTAAACTGGGAGCCACATTACATTGTACGACCGAGGGTATATACATGGAGCTCCCCCAAATTAGGGTTCCCCAAATGCTGCAATTGATGAATGAGCCAAAATTAGGCGATACAGGGCCCATATTATACTGTTGGCAGCTGGACGGCAACCCCTATACCCCAGGACTCCGGCAACTGCAGACTGCTCTGCAGAATTTCGCGAGACCCTATGCCCAGAATTTGTGCTTTTTAATCAGCACCAGTC